ATTAATCAAGTAGCCATTTGGTGCTAATTGTTACAGAAGCTATTCTTCAGCTTCCTGGATCATTGCTAATGATATCAATATGATATCATACAAAGTCTGACTAGCCCCAGGTAAGTTTACAGGGATGGTTATTATAGATGTCACTTTCCTGAGAAGGTTGCTGAAAGTTACTGGTTACAGTTTTTTTACTTTCATATATGGTCCAACCCTTGGCCATTTTTGTATTGTGTCTTTCACTACACATCCTCCCACACAGCGATGAGAACAATATTCAAGCTGACCTGGGTAGAAATTTATTGGTGTTCTGGCAATGCTACACCCCTAGGGATAATCATTAAGGTGATTAAAAGCACACAACTAGGTTCTCTAGAAAAGTTTCCTTGGGAATGGAAATGGTGGAGCAGGTTGTCCTTCACTAAAATTGAGTCACATCATGATAAACAGGGATAAAAATGGACCAAATGTATAATTAATGTTTTTTTAAAAACAGCATGGCCTATCTCTGAGGATCCTATATTTGAGTGTTCCATAGTTTAGGATGAAATTTGGTTTGTTCTTAAATTAACAACTTTGTTTAAACTGCTTAGAGCCCCTGTAAAGTTTATTACAAGTCCATGGAAATGCTTTTATGTGTGATTGGCAATATTCAGGAAACATAAGCACCAATACACACCCTTATGAACAAGAAGAAACACTCAGCTTCACAAACCTTCATGGGGCTTCAGCCACAGCAATGGATAAGACAGCAAATTTCACTGCATGCTGGGCTTGCTACTGCAAGCCTGATTTTAGTAAGGATAGCAAAGTATCTCTCTTCTGGACAATCTCCCCCACAAATCTCTTATCAATATGAGCCAGTTCCCCTAACTATTGATAGTCAACAAGAGTCAGAGGCCAATCTCATATGAATAAGTAGGTAATGGCGTGATAAGCCTATAACTAATTTAGTTGACCTATGGTTAACATACAAGTTTGTTGCAATATGACAGAATATTATGCTATTAACCCCAGCTGGTATTGCATTATGCCACACAAAATTATCTTTATAGAAATGTACAGAATACTGACAATGAAGGTCACCACACAGGCCTATAATGAAGTCAAATGATGCCCTCTATCATAAATTTCCTCCTCTCTTCCTCCTCTCTGGACAATATTTATTGCACTCTATTTCGACTCAAAATTCGAGTAAACATTACTCACTAATAGAACCTTCCAAGGACTTGCCTCCACAAACCATGCAAGCTACAATTTTCCAAATCTGTAAATGAGTTTTCCTAATATTCCCCATGGTGCTTACTGCTCTATGATCACTAATTTTGGGTGAAGGACCCCACAAAAGAAATATAAAAGTCAAATAGCCTAAGGTGTTTTTCATACCAATTAAACAAATCAAGTGAATAGACCTCTTGGCAGAGTCTCATCATATCTATGGTCTATGGTGGAAGATAAATGTATTATATATTTACTTCTCAAGAAGTCTGGGCACCTTAGCACACTGTAGATAACACATGCCAAGTCGTACATACAGATAGCAACAAATACATGTCACAAGGATCAGCATGTCATTTTGTTAACTAAACAACAATATCTCCTACTGTGATCTATTCTCCTTTCTTCTATCTGGTCAGATGGGCTGTGAAAGGATTTTAATCTATCTGTGCCCTTATAGACATTTCTCTGCTTTACTACTGGCTCCCAAACCAAGCACTACACAATAATGTATAGTTTA